TTTTTCTGAATAGATTGAAATGCGCTCGTGTGGATTAAAAGCAGTTCTCCCTTTTTTTTTTTCTTAGCGATACAACTTTCATCGTTTTCAAATGCGATTGTTTTATGCTGTTGTTTTAAACTCTGATTTTATTTCTGCACTACACTAAAAAAAACTCTCTCGCTTTTGCCAAATATTAAATATTTACCTATTTCATTTTAAGTTCCGAAAGTGCACATTAGCCACAGGAAAAAACAGAGAGAAGTTTAAATAAAATATCCTCTGTAATTTATTATTTGCACGTTTGATACACTTAATTAGAAAATCTTATCAAGAAACTATGAATATTCTGTACTATTATATTATTATAATGTTCTTATTAAGATTGTTGTTGATTTGAGATTATTATTGAGATAGTACTCCACATGTGGCTGTTTTATTTATATTAAAATATTTATGAAGATTTTATAAAGTTAAAAAAAATGTAAAATTTAAAATTATAAAGGTTTAAAAAAAATCTGTATGTAACTGATAAATATTAGATCGGTGTAAAATACATTTGTCGTTCTTCTCTCCAAGTTTATATTTAATAAATTCGAAAATTGAAGCTTTTTAAAAAGAGGATTGAAAAAATCTTAAATATAAATGAAATGTCCATCAAAGTTTGTGGCAATAATTCTGCTTCGATTTTACTTAAATTTTGTTTTCAATTTTGGTTGACGTGGCAATATCTAATATTAATACTCTAATGTTATTCGTTAGTCTAATATTATTTTAATGTTAGTTTATGGCACATATCTTGGCACGTCTCGATCTGTGTCTGAATCACCGCCACTGTTTACGTCAGTAGGTATATGAATGAAACTATAATAAGGAAACTATAATGAGAGAGAGAGAGGGAATTTTAATAAGAGAGAAAAGCGCCTGCAAAAAAATCGACGTCATCTATGCATGCAGTTGTTCACAGTTGCCTACTTCCAGGCGCTGTTGTTATATTGTAACAACTGAAACAAGTGAAGAAATATTTTTAAAACCGATTAACATTAGGTATATTACTTTACATTATTTATTGAATTTAAATTATTATATAGTTTTTTTGTGAAATAGGCGATTGTATAATTTCTTCATTTTGTTATCCGTGTTACATTCGAACGAATTACGAGGTTCTGTTAATTAAAAACAAATTCAAAGATTGCGATAAATTTGATGTATGAAATGTAAACAGTTGTAGGAAGATACATATAAGTTTTCAGGCTCAAAGAGGGATTAAAAATTCCAATATTGCGTATAAATGATTAAATATTTTAGCACGCGGTTATGTGGTTTCATCGAAAGTCCGGTCGATTGACTGAATTACGAATTTATTATTTATATCTCCGATGGCTGAGAACTCGCAGTATAGTGGCTTATTAATTGTCCTTCTCTCGACTCATACCGCGATTTTCATAATTAACATAATGCTATGCATTTTTTATTGCGCAGTCATGAAGTATTTCCTCAGCAAATATATACTTCAGTGCCATCTTTCAGCCCCCGTCGCGGAAAATCGCGAATATAACTCACAACATCGCGAAGTGTTACGTAAATATTTGTTTTTTGGCGAAGTATATTGCCCGAGCGTGAAAGCAATGGACGCGTAAACAAGAGCCATCGAAATTGTGCCATAGCTATTTATACCTGTCCGCTCATATTTACCCGGACCGGTGAAAAGGGTGCGCGCATTAGGTCACTTAATTAAATATTGTTCGACAATTTATTTTATTTCCCGGAATGTCGCACAGTAATATTAATTTCGCCTGCCTTCAGGCTGTTTCGGTGGCATAATTATTGGCACAACGTCGTACGATTTAACGCAAATTTATGCCTAATCGCCAATAGTCGGAGCAATTAAAATGAGTCACATCCGAAGGTACTGAGCACTATATTTTGTACATTATTATTTTGCCTCTGTATTCAGATATATATACTGCAAAGTTCTGAATTTATATCTTCCGATACATAAAACGTTTTCTCTCAGTTTTGTTTAGTCTACACGTGCACGCCCTTTGGCTCACATTACTTCCGAGTTTCTGCCGAGTTGCTAAATATTACAGCGCTAAACGTAGAGACAACCGTAATTCTACAGAAACTTTCTTAAATCTTTAATAAAATTTGCTACCACAAATAATCCAATTTCATCGTTTAATTCATCGGTAATGTGGATAATTCGATTATTCACTTAATGAATAATATTCCACTCGCTTGTGATATATTGCATTATAGAATAATCTCTCTAAACCATAGTGATGTTCAACTTCACAGTAAAAAAAAGATATAAATTTTTTTATTAAATCAGATTTGAAATAATTCACAGAATAAAATATTTAAGTCATATTTCGTTGGATAAAAAATGCAAATATACTGAAAAAAGAATGTTATATCAACAGTATTATTTTAATTGAAAATAATTTTATTAATTCAATAACACTATTAATGAAACAAATACATTATGCTTTCGTTTTAAAACGTTATTTGTTTCATTAATATTATTATTGAATTAATAATATTATTTTTAATTAAAATAACGCTGTTGATATAATATCTTTTTTTTTCAGTGTTAGTTTTTTTTTTACTGTGAATTAAGAAAATTATTCACGAAGGTTATTGCACAATAAAGAAATAAGAAACATGTTTGTTGGTTCATAATAAAAAAAAAATCATTAGATTAACTATATGTTCGACTTTCTTTAAGAATTTCTTTTAGAGAGCCATTTTTAGCAAAATTTTGTGGACCGCATAATTATTTATTTCATTTGCATAAAATAAAAAAAAACATGTTTTTATATTTGCTGATAAATATAGTGTTTCGAGAAAAGAATTTTTGACATTTTATAGCAATCATTAATTCGGAGCTCTTCCTCAGTAACGAGTGAACCCGCTAAGCCGTGTCGAATGTAATTGAATTAAAACGTCGGATGCAATTAGCGCGGGAAGAGTCGCAGCCTCCCGCGTGCGCGCGATGTTACTTTTCAAATTGAGCGAATCGAGTATGGCTACTGCCGCATGAAGTGCAATTGCATTTTCGTGATTTACGCGCACGACATAGACAACACTTGTTGCCCACAGCACGGATTGCGACAAATAACAAAGCTGCATGAGCATCCATTAGAATGCTGCAATGCATTACGATCATTAATTTTCTAACGATTAGTTCGATTTGATGTTCAGAATGTTTTATTTTCAACTGCGAGCGTCATGCTCTCGTCGAATTATTTTTTGCAACCACGCTTGTTTTTAATTTGATTTGGCAATTTTCCTGCCGTACGCTTGGAGTGGAATTTTTTACTTAAATCGAAGACGGAGAAGAGTGAATATTTTCTAAAGAAGTAATGCCGTTATATTAACGGTATATTTTTAAATTTTATAACAAGAGAAAAGAATTTCGAATTATCATGTATTTCAGTGAAATTTTAAAAGAAATAAAAATTTGTTTTACAAAAATAAATGTGATGAATTAATACTATTTTAATACGTACACAAAATTGTGAAAAATTTGCTATAATTGATAAATTGCATGTTCGTACAGTGCGAATTAAAATGTCAAGCACGCAAAAGGTTGCTCATTAAATTCTGCGAAAGGTTAAAATACTTTAAGTACTTTGCGTGGAAAATAGTTTTCTGGATAGAAATTACTTTTCAAGCGTACTGCAGTTTACTTTTTCTTTCAATTTAATTATGACTTTAGTTTTTTAAGCTCCTGCGCACGTTGTAGATTGCATGTGTTTTCATCATCCTTGTTTTGGATTGTTTGTTGCATCCCAGGTCCAGGCGTTTCTCTCAGGATGTCACAACTTCAAAATCGACGGAAAACCTCTCGACATCTTATGTCAGGTATGCAAAACACATATGCACGTTATCATCTCATCACTTCTCTATTTTCTCTGGACTTCAGCAGAAGAACTAAGTAAGAACTAAGTATTATAAATAGATATTATCTCATTATTATTGTTTGTATTGATGTTTAGAATGTAGTACGATTGTGCATCCTTTAGATAAATGCACGCAAGATTGTTTATAAAAAGCATGTAAGAATGGCAAGATTTAGAAGTAGAATCTTATTTTTAAGAAAATGTCTTTTTTTTTTTACTGACGATAAATCTAGCCGTAAGATGATTGCAAAAGAAATTTATGTAATTACACGTCTCTTTTTCGATATTAAAAAATTTTCTATGTTTCTGAAAAGTACAAAAAACTAAAACAATTCTAAAAGAAACTTAACAGAAATGTGACTTACAGCAATATGTCATTATTATGACATAACGCAAGTTCGTTCACCGATTTTTTTCATTCACCGATTGTTTCTTTTTTTTTTCTTTCTTTCACGTTTCACTATGTCATATTATTCAGACCCATTCGCAGGAATTTCATTGGACTTTATCTTTGTCGGCCACGCGTTAGACGACGCGACTTATGGAGACAACCCGCACAGTGCACGGTTCGTTGCATCGTGAAATTGCGTTTTGTTATGGCTACGCGAGATTGCCTCCACTGAGCTGAGCGTTTTACAAATAGTGTCACGCCAAACTATTAACGTCTACCGCGTACATCCCACAAGAGTAAGTCGACGAGTTCTCTTGACTCTATTTCCGAATGTGCAAGCGTCTTGATTCCATTCCGGGGACGTAAACTGCAAACAAATACCTTTTCATTATCCGATAATTTTGCGCGTTTGTTTTCATTTTGTATCATTTTCATTTCACATTTTCAACTATTTTTTTCTTTTTTCTATTCAAATGACTTTTCAGGTAAATTTTGCAAATCGACATTTTTGGAGTGGAATTTGCAGGGAATTTAAAATTAATTTTTTAAAAAGCGTCTGTGTGGGAGTAGAGTACATCTCGACACATTCTGATCGTTTCATTCTATCTCCTCTGATCTACTTTTCAGCAGATTTCGTTTTACTTAATCAAATTTATTGTGCAACGAGCTCGAGATATAAACGAGAGTAAAGCTAATTAGTAACTACATTTATTCTATTACAGGAGTAAGAGTCGTAGTGTGGATCATGGATTTACAGCACCCTTCGATTTGGACGCTCTACGGAACAAGGTCGAAGGACGTTTTGAATCTGTGGATAAACTCTCGAGAGGTGAGTACGTTATTACACTATTAAACAATTGAAACAATTGATCGCGTAGGATATTTTGCATGAAAATTCCAACCCACATGGAATAAATCTCGTTTAGTCGCGAATATTATTTTAGAAAAGATGTCGACTTCATATTATTTTAGAAAAGATGTCGAGATTTGTTCTCTTTAAAAAAATCGTATGCTCTTTTTCTATCATTGCAGATTAACTTCAATCTCGGTTCAATTTACTCTTCATGTTTTTCAAATTCTTAGAACTAGTAAAAGATGAAGAGTTGAACCGAGATTAAAATTAAGTTACATTGGTAGAAATGGCATTCTTCTTAGTTCTGTTGTCGTGATCGAGCGTGGTGACTTCTCTCATATGCCTGTGGTGCGCACAATCATACGGGACATTTTTTAACGTCGATTCCGAACGACTAAATTTTTAGAGAACCGTTCTTGGCAAAGATGGTTCTCGATGGGTTCCTTCCGAGAGGAGATACGAGCGTATAAAAATATTTTTTAATTTACCAGGTAATTGAACCCGGGATTTCTAACATAACAGATCAGTGCACTATCTGCTTTGCCACACTCGCTCTTAGAAAACGGGCATTAGACATATATAATTCCTTTGCATTTAATTCAATATTAAACTTGAAAGTGATCGAAAATATCCAGACTATTTAATATTAAGAATTTAATATTAAGCGACTGCAGCAATTTGTCTTTTTTATTTTCGAGCGATATATCATTGTACGACACGTGCTCTTTTTTTCATAGCAATGATCGATTTGATTCGCTGAGTTACGCTATCGAATATCATTTAACGTGTCCGTCGATGTCTCGCGCGGATTCACGCACTCGATCATCCACAGAATATCCGATGCGGAAGTTCCGGGTGACGTCGCCGACGACGGGTAGGCGAATTGGAGAGGTTGATCATGATGATGACGCGATCTATGCTAAATGAAGGTTTCAGGGACCCGGGCTGTTTCGACGAATCAGCCGCGCGCAGCCTTACTCGGACGAGTTACATTGACTTACTTTCTCGAAGTGGCACAAGTGCCACGTGTGATCGATCGCCCTATCTCGCGCATACTTCGAACCGACGCGCGTTACCAATATCCAGCATAGCTCGAGAGCTTAATGAAGACTAATTGACGCGCAGGATTAAAGATAAAGTGCTGTTGTAATTAATGGAATAATGTTTCGACAAACGAAACGTAGATCTGGTTTCAAAAGACCGATAAGATTACAAACAAATGACGAAATGATAGTACTTGTATATACTGTCGATAGTACTGTCATCTAAGAATCACTCTTAATTGGAATAGATAATTCAGGCAGAATATATATATTACTTCAGAATTTATTTATTAGTCTAGAAAAATATGGAAAACTGAAAATTTTCAGGGGATTTTTTTTATCTTTGAAAATTGGGAAAATTTTATCGATACTCTTGGAAATTTTTGAAATTTTACTTATTTCTCTCTCTTTCTGAAAATATCTTCTTCTTTATAATATGAAATGTTGACACACAATTGATTAAAAATAAGTGGCATACACTTCCGCGTATATTCACGTAGTGAAACTCTTGAGTCTCGCAAATTTTTATTTAAAAAATCAGGTGACATTACTAAACAATTCTCAGCAGAAGAGAGTAGTTCGCTGTATTGCAGTGAATCTTTTTTATATTGCCCTACATACAGGTTTCATGACTTCAATTGTAGAGAATGATAGATATAGCGTCATGAAATTCCTTCTGTCTTCTATTAATTTACAATATAAAGTTTATTTGCATTACTCGTATTCTAATTTATTTCATAGTTGCATTTTTTTTAAATTGTCTAATTTTACCTGGAATTTTGAATAAAAATACTGTACTTTGAAATGTTGAGCTCGAATATCGTTAGAAAAATTCCATCAGGTCAAATTTTTAAGATAGTATCAGTTTTAAGATAAATATTTCTTTCGAATAAGTTAGATCCAAGTGATCAGTAAGTTTCCATCAGAATTTGATGATAATTGAGAAATTTTTTTGATAACGTTATCAAAAAAAAATAACAGGACAAAAATATGTTAAACAACTGCTAGATTCCAATGCGTGAAACCGATTCAAAATATATTGTAAAACACAAAAATTGAACGCTCGATACTTTTGATTTATTTCTTAATTTTGATAAAATTGTATAGTGTAAAAAATATCTTTTCTTATATCTCAATCAGACCTGGTAAAAATATTTCAATGGCAAATTCGGGCTTAGCGTCGAAAATTATTCTAGAAACAGTCTTTACATTATGCTCTTGCACAAAATCTTGTAAATTAGTATTATAAATTAGTATTTATTGTATTACCTGTAAAAAGCACATGGCAAAAAAAGCAGTAAACGAATCAGTCCATCGTAGTAGAGAAAATAAAACGATAACGTAAGCAGAAGCAAATCCAAAATGTTGATTTGCTTATTGCGCAAAGAATGGACTTGAATGCAACTCGAATGGACTCGAATCGCTATTGGCGTCATCATTTCGTCGCGCTCCATTTCGTGAATGCGAAATTGCGATTCTGAACGAAAATTTAGATTCTGTCTCGACGGTTAGGTTTCGCGCACAGTTTATTAAATCCGTTTCAAGTACGCGAGCAACCCAGATACCAGTGCGAACATTTGAATTATTTGCCGTGCATATGCACGAGGGTGTGGCTCTAATAGCAACGGAGGGTTCACCAAGAGACAATTGTTTCCAACTATCGTTAGAAATTTATCTCATTACTCGCGCCAGCCATCTGTGGAATTGCACGTCTGCGAAATAATCCGGTCCCTATCTAGCCTTCAGCGCTCGAAGTTACAATCATTGTTTGCGGTGTATTAATCAAACGAATTTTGAAAGTAATTTTTTTTAAACTCTTTTATTACTATTAACCGTATTTATTTATTGGAATTAAATTAAATCAAATTATACCAATTTGAAGCAAGTAAACCTATCGGCGAGTATTTCGCGTTGTATAATCTAATTTTTGCTAATGTTTTAATGTTACCGATTATATGTAGTTGGCTGTATTTTTTTAATTATTTTTCGGGATGATCATTTTCTGCGAAAACTCGTAAGAGAAAAAAATTGAGAGAGAGCAGCGATATTCCAAGCATGATGCATTTGTCGATTGCATTGACGTTTTTATCGGGGTTCTCTCGTCGTCGTATCTATGCATACATACGACTGTTTACATTGCAACGACACTAGTTGCGCACAGGCTATGCAAACGTTTATTCCCGATTATGCCTTGCACGAATATCAAGTGAGACTTTGAAAAGTTTCTCGAAAGCTGGAGGGACGCATGATGGCCAAGAAATAAAACGGCGGAAAATTATTCGCATTAACTCATTAAGCATCTGTCGTGATTTATAAATTTCCAAACTATATATAGAGTATGTTCTATTTAACATTCGCTACGCTCGCATGCATCCTTTCATCTTTGTTTAATATTTGATGACAGAGATGAAATGACGCTTACGAATATTACGAACGTTAAATGGAACGCATTCATAGCCTTAGCCTTAACCTTAGCCCGGGCGCGCATATTTAAATAATCGTGGGCATATTTAAATTTCTGCGTTCTCTGTCTCTTTCAACGCAAAACCTGTTTTACATGCTTAAGGGAAATGCGCGTGTAGAACTTAATTGCTCCTAATAGTTATTTATGCATGAGATACTATAAAAACGAGATTAGCAAAATTAGTATTGCCTAACATTTCTATTTTTGATACATTAATAGAATAACATATAATACAAATTTTATTTTTATCTCATTTATATACACATATATATATATATATATATATACTGTGTGTATATAATTATATGAATGCAACGACTCGAATGTATAATTCCGTATGTAGAGGAAAGGCCCCTATTGAGATACCGAGTTCATTTTGGGTAAATGCTAGAAGTCTGGGCAGAATTTAAAAAAAATAATGGGTCATTTTGAAGGGAATTTAATAAGCTTTAAGATAATGTTATATAAAATTTAATTCAAATTTCACTTTTTTTGAAAATTGAAGAAATGTAAAATGCGAGCAAATCGCAAAGTCAAAAATTGTGCTCCTAATATGAGATGCCCCGAGAAATCGATAGTAAAACGCAAAGTATTAGTATTACGACTAAAAAACTTTATTTAATGTTTCTTAAATACAAATAAATACAGCCAGGGTGCGCGAAAAATGAATATGCAATATATTATATATTGAACTCATCTTCAGGTAGTTGAAATCAATCATCGCAGAAATAGGCACTCGACATTCATTCTGATTCTTTTTATTGTTGTACAATAATATTTATACTTTAGCAACGATTTTCACTATGCATGAGAGCATGGGTTTCATATTAGAAATCGTCTGGGTATCTCATATTACGATTTCCATGACTTACGATTTTGAAATCTAACTTCTAATTAAGCAATTCAACATATCCCGTATTTTTCTATTAATACGACCTTATCACTACGTGAAGAATTTATTGCCAAATATTTATTTATTAAATAATAAACAATGTTTAAAGACTCATCTCAATGAAACTTGAAGATATCCAAATTCTAAAATATTTTTTACGATGACTACAAGCATGATCTAGTAATAAATTTTCTACTAAACAGTTTTCAATTCAAGAACAATAAATTCATGATAGAACTAATAGATAGCGTCTATTAGTTTAGCAGAAACTTCCTCTATATAATTGACTAAAAATATATTTCTTTAGCTCTAAGAATAAATCATAAATCAATCAAATTGCTAATAAGAGTTGCAGCAATTATCAGTGCCGAAATTATATTAAATATATGTATATATATATATATATATATATATATATATATATATATATATTTAAATTATACATATATATAATAATTTTTGTGTAATAGTAACAAATTAATTATGTGTGTGACAAAAAAAGTAGCTATATATATAATTTATAAACTTAATATATACTTTAATTTATAAAAAATTGTGAGATTATTATTAATGTGAAAGTTATTGATCTGAATATGACCTTTGAAAGCGATGTGGAATTACATTTGTCTCTTATTCATGTATTGGTTGTCACAACTCAATAATTTATTCATTACATGCTACAACTGGCAAACACATCGAACATCTCTCGCATGAGACTAATTATCTGAACGATCCTTCGAGACACGAAAATATGTTATGTAATGATACCAAAGATACGCCGCAATGATTTGATCGGCTAACAAAACGAACCATTTCGTTGTTGTTTCAATCATTTCATTATAGTCTGCATATATCTGTTCAAAAGTTCTTTATTATTTATACAATTTATTGTAAATGTATATTAATTAACATTGTATAACAACAACGTTCATGAATATCAATTTCTGAGAATTTTGCGAAACCGATTCCAATCTCGTCCAATTCGATATCCCATTCCAAGAATCTCAAGGATTAATTTCGTAATTAACACATTCTATATCACGTGAGTTACGTAAGCCATGCTGGATTTTCCATTTAGACTATTTCACATTTTGATTATGAAAACAAACATAATTATAAAATAATTTGTGATATGTGCGTGGTTACATAGTTATAATATATAATACAATATTAGTACATTAGATCTTCTACTTTATAATAATAATTTTTGTATATTTTAAACTATTATATAAAAATTTATGTTTTTAATATATATATTTAACAAATATAATAACAAAAATATTGTATATCACCAATAATCCTTGTGGCATGTCAATTTAAAATTAGCGCCGTACAGAAACCGATGTTAATTTCTCTTCAACACACTCGAATATATATTTACCTCTTTTTAGTGTAAAAATTTTTAAAAATTTCAAGCAACACAAACAAACTTTATCGATTCAGATAAAATGGCAGTTGAAAAGTCCCGCCAAGTGTGACGTCGATCCGATTCCATCATGGCGATCTATGAATGATCAGTCGTTCGGTCGTCGGCGGCCGCGAACGACGTCATGTTCGTAAATCACAAGGTGTCTGTCGTCCGCGTAGATCGGCACTATGTTGATGTCATTCGTACTTCCAACTCCGGCGTCGCGATCGCGATTGTTCCTCTTCACCGCCGATCGGTGACACCCGATAACCTCCGCGAGTGCGCGGCGCGCTAATTATTCACGTGATCGACACCTTCTCGCGCAGTTTCAGCTGTACGGATGACGTTTGCAACGTCGAAAAATATCCGGGCATCACCAGAGAACACCTCAACAACAACTTTTCTCTCTCATTTCCGTTATCGCTTTCGTGCGATAAGTGTCGCTGCCGTCAATTCTCTCTGCGAGCGCAGTACGTTTCTACCGCGGGATACTGTCGGTTCGCTTATTATTTCTCGCTTGCGCATTTTTTCACGAATGTCTCGAAAACGATCTCTGTACGAATCACGTTATTTGTGCGCCGTATTTAAAACAGAATTTTTACAAATCACAAAGTTATTTTATTTTTATTGTATCTATTATATATAAAAGAAATATTATATAAATATTTCAACGTCGGTATGTAATTTTGCACCTTTTTCGTCAGCAGCATAAAGCTTCGAAATTCAACGCAGATTTTTATATTATTCCGGACTGTACAAAAACTTAAAAAAAGTTCTTACATGTTTGTGAAAATTTTAAAATATTAAAACGAGAATAAATATTTAAGCGAGATAGAAGTTTAATGCAATGACAAAGAATATAGACTTGAATGATCTACAGATTGTTTACATTGATTGTCTGCATATAAAACACAATTTATATAGTTCACATTGTATACACGCAGATAAAAATTTTTTCATATTTTACGCTTAAACGCACAGCTCTGAAATAATATCTAATCTTTATATACGCGTATATATACCTACATAATTATTTTCTTTGTGTAAAAACGAAATATACATATTACTTTTTTATTTAAAGAAAATAATTACACGATAAGAAAAAAAATGTTATCTACACTCAAAATGTGAGGAATCAAAATGAAAAGGAGTCAAAATGATTCTGACAAATCCAAGCCGTAAATTGAATATCAAGATTTCATTTCGGTGATTCAGAGTGGACTAATTGCTTTATCGCACGTGTTTGGCCTGTCACGCGAGAAAGTTTCGGTGCAACCGGTTTTATACCGTTCCACAAAACGAACACTTTTTATGTGTCGCCAGTGACAAGGTCGACCAATACCGGTAGGAGAAAGTGTCGCGCTGCATACGTTTCCGTCTACATGAAGAAATTAAGGCAATGGAACATTAATAGCTTGATTCTGCAAAAAGTTTCAGAAGGAACGAAATTAATCTTCGGTAATATCCTTCTGTGACAATATGCTAATTGATAAAATGTTCTTAAGGCGTTTGAACAATTTAATATTTAACGTTGTTTTAGCCTCGTAGCCCTTTGTCTTTCTGTTTATTAAATTTATTGAGCCTTATTACTATTATATATAGTTTACTATTTAACGTTTTCAATCTTAAAACGTAAAATTAAGTAAACTTGTTTGCATGTCATGTTATTTATTAACCCTTTCATTCACACACACACACACACACACACACACACGATACAAGAAACAGTGAAAGAGTTGATAAATAATATGACATGCAAACAAGTTTATTTAATTTATATATATATATTATATATATATATGATGCACGAGTTTTATTTCTTTAAACTTGTGTTTTGTATATTTTTTTTAATTTACAACATTTAGAACTTAGAATTATTTAAATAAATATTTATTAAAATTTAATTTTTTCAGTATAAAGATCAATTTTCTAGAACACTAAATTTAACCGATAAAAACAACTGGAAGTGAAAAGGTTATAGGAAAGTGACGAAGTAAATTGTGACTGCACTACGTTTCATTCATTTGTAGATTTTAGTTTGGACAGCTTTTGTATGAAATCAATTTTTTTCTCTTTTTGTAAGTTGAGCTACTACTTTGCACTGCTCCGTTTGAGCGTAACGAGCGCTCCATTTGAGTGTAGATAAAATTAGCGAGAAGCCGAAGAAATCAATACCATTATGTTTCCTTGAGTCATTTGTTAATGTAAAAACTTTGAAACTCTGTCGAACTTGTTACGAACAACTAGTATTTACTAACATTATTTTACAATGTGCTTTTAACATAGCCTGTTATCGGAAAAGCTCAAATACTTTTATATTTATGATGGTGAAGTTTTAATTTGTTTTCTTGTCCCGATAATATAAATTATGTAAAATTTGTTTATATCATATTATTAAACAAATTTTACGTAATTTATATTATTCATTACACTGTTCGACAGAAAGTCACGTTTTTTTTTCTCCAAAGTAATATAGTACATTTCTCGAAGATTTTTTCGTGCTTAACGTGATACTGTTCTAAATTAAGTTTACGATACATAAAAATACAATTCAAGAGCTTTTAAAATGAAATTTTTAATTTATGATCGTATGACTTATTTGTATCAGTTATGACTGTTCGAATTTTAGATTTTCTGTATGTGATATAATTACATAGAATTAGACAAAAGAATCACTTTTTTTCTCTTTTTGAAGTGCCATAATACTGAAGATTTTTTGCGCTGAACACGATATTATCGTTAGAATGTACATAGCACTTCAGGATTTTTGGCAAATTGAGATGTAATGGTAAATTGCAGTGCATTTTAGTCCATTTTACTTCAATTTACTAAAAATTCTGATGTGTTACGAAAATTCTGACGACGATATCGTGTTCAGCAAGAAAAAATTTTCGAGATACTACGGGATTTCAAAGAGAAAAAAAAATGAAACATTTTTTTGTTTAATTTTAGACTTTCTGTATATTTATTATGTGTAATTATACAGAAAGTCTAAAATGTAAACTTGATGAAAGTAAGTCGTACAATCATAAACTAAAAATTATTTGAACTTTATTTTTTTGTTTTAATGTAAAAATGTGTTGAAAATGGCCGTAAACGTTATTTTATCTTAACTTACTTAAAATCCTAACATACTAAATTCTATATATGATTCAACTATGCAAGTCTATGATACCGTGTTTAGTGCGAAAAAATCTTCAGAATAGTACTAAAACACTTTGAAGAGGATTTAATGTTATTAACGTTATTGTGAGTTTTTTATCCAGCTATTGCATTACATTTTAGTTAAAAATACTGAAGAAAAATAAGAATGAAACTAAAAATCCGCGTATGCTTTTCATTATCTAATTAGATTTTGCGCTGACTTCATCAATTAACATCTATCAGTTACGGAAACGAAGTGTGCACTATTTCGCCGACGCTGTTGGTGCAAAATATTAAACGTGTTCGCGTAGACAGGTTTGGACGGCAAGAAGTATCCACTGTCAATCTGGCAATTTAAAAAAAAAAGTCGAAAAATGCGATGATGCTCCGACTTGGAAATGTTAATGGCGATGAAATTTGATGGTCTAATCATGATGGACTCACAGTGGGAATACGCGGACTACGAGCCGAACAACATTCATATCTACGAGAAAGAATTTCATGATTATGTTGTGTACTATGTGGCGCAAGGAGACTCGCGGCTCTTCTCAGGCAGCTCGCAGCACTCAAGTACAGGTATTCGGAAAATGTGGGAAAAAAATATTTAACATGGCGAGATGTACGTTTAAAAATAAGTACAAGGTATCATCTATGAATTATGCGTTTCTCGTGTCCGCGCGAAGTAAAAGCTTGGTCAACTTTGCCTCTTCATAACGTAAATATTGCTGTTTTGAAAGTAGCTCTTCAATAATATTTACTTAAATTTCTTTCAATTTCTAAACGTGGAAATTGTTTTATTTTCATTTTGTTAGCAAGTTCAAGAGAAATTATTTACTCTGTTATATTTGAAACGTGCGCGAATAATATCTACTTTGTGAATCACTCGCTATTTGAATATCGCAAATTTTATATTGTCAAATTTATATTTTAAATAAATTTATATCTTGAATAAATATTTTATTCCGTATTTATATAAATTTATATTTTTGTTACAATTTATTAGTTATTATTAATGCCAATATATCGCAAATAAAGATATAATTAAAACCTGAAAAATACAGTATAATAATTTGTATTCTTTTTCAAAGAAGATATTTAGATGAATTCATTCAAGTATTATTAAGCTAAATGATATCTTTAAATTAATAGATTTTTCTTCAATTTAAAATAGAATAAAATAGAATAAAATTATATCGGATCTGAGCAGTAGAAACTTTAGTCATTTTAGTTCACATATATTCCGTTTTGTGTCGATGGCTTCAAATATATTAATTAATTTTACACGTGCGACCATCTGCGACATGTGTGAGATGTAATAAATTATATGTAAATCTGTAGAAGTGTCAAGTCCACGCGCCGCACTGTCGTATCGGTTAAAATAACGTTTTCGCAGTCATCCCAAGTTTATTGCGCAATGGCGTGAATTGAATGCCAGTTAAAATTGAGTAAAGTGTCTGAATCATTTATCGAAGGCCACGGAGGAGAAAAACAAACCTTTCAGATTGCTCGTCGTGTGATTCTTCGTTACTCTTGTCACGTTTGCTCGTGGAATACAATAGAGAAAATTTTATTCCTAGACCATCCATTGTAGAAAAAATAATAGGATATGACTAATCTGGCATTGATGTTTTTTTTTTCATGGCCCTTGGCGATTATACCAATCATACATATATGATTGGCTGCGTTCCGTTATGCACATACTGAAAAAATAGATATACAACCCGGATTTATTTTTCGATATAATATCAGTTTAATACTCAAGGCTTTTTGTCTCTTAATTTTATGAAGCCAATTAATATTATAATAATAAATGCGCTGATAACATCTATCGATTTTATATGAGTGTATCAGACTGATACTATATCAGTATTACATTTAGAGAGTGGTGATTAATTGCAATTAAATCAAGAAATCGCAATTAATCGTTATTAATTAACAATAAATATACATCTAATCGGGAGAAAATGGGAGAAATCTCTCTAAGTGCGACAGATTCTGTCAATAAGTATAATAAAATAAAGTTAACAATATTATAATAGGAATGTGCTTCGCCTTTCACAAGCCGTTCATCTTCTGAAGTAAGATTTTCGGGATGCTCCTCCATTCGCGAGCGAACGAATGTTTAAATTGGCAATGATTAACCGCGTTTATCTTACATGTAGCAGATTCAACCCCCAGAATGACTTTTGCGTGAGCCGTTATATGCTTGGTGGTTCATTTATCATCGAGTCGCAGTCGCAACAGTGCAGCTGATTGCACTGGCGATGAGTAATGTAGTCGGGTAGGCGGACTGTAGAAATTAAATTTAACCGTCACTGCCGCGAATGTTTAACACCTTATTGCGGCTATTTTTTTCCTCTCAGGAACGTAGGTTGATATCGACTTTGTTTCGCGAAGACTCAACGAAGATTCAGACATTGTCCTTATCGAGGAAACACTATACGTAGGATAACATCGTATATCTCTTTCATGCTGCAAAATACATCTTACTGAAGCAAAATTTGCTTCTGTCTACATTCTACAATTCAGTTTTGAACACATAGATATTATACAGAATAGCGCACGAGATGTCATATCATTTAATTATCTAATTTTCAAATTGACTTTTTCTGATATTAATTTTATATTATCTAATTTTCAAATTGACTTTTTTTGATTTGATTAATTTTATATTAGTTTTATACTAATTTTATTAAAAACAAATGTGTTATATATAAATTGAATGACATAATATTTGATTCTTGTGCCACACCCTGTGTACATATAGCATTTTATATTTAACTATTTTATGTAACAGATGTTAATATACGTTAACTTTTATAGTAATATTATTTCTTATAATATCGCAGGCGCACGATTTATCTGAAAGTAAACTTGAGTTTATTGAAAAAAAAAACGGGATAAATGTACAGTATCTTCTTCTGATATATCTCTTCAGATTTGATACTTTGAAGTAGATACGTTTAATCTGAAATCTGATTTTTTTTCATCAAGTTATTTTTACAAATAAGATTAAATATAACTATAAGATAATTATGGAGATATCTACGTAATTTTATAGACAAATCGAGATAAAATGTTACATCAGGTGTGTTTTGTTTAGCAATACGTTGTTCAAAAAACATGAGTGTAAATCTATTTTTTTTTCTAGATTCCGATAACGAAAGCAAAGATGGCTCCACGACACAGGAAAAGAAACATGGCCGTGTCTCGCAGCCCATCAATACTATTGCCTATACGGTAAGTACGTCTGTATGCATAGTAAATATCCTAATTGAGCGTATATTAAGTTCTAGTATACTCTACGATGCGCTCATTTACACGATTCCAATGGGCAATCAAATGTCGAGACAAGAAGATTAGATGCCAAGGAGAGCAAATGTAACCTTTGCTCGAATGCATAAATATCCGTTATTCTTAGTAATGTAGCGTAACATAACTGTTTTTTCGCTATCGCTCCAAAGAGGGACATTCAAGAGGTTCGAAACAAGATTTGAAACAGTTTTGAAATTCCGGTATATAACGATTTATTAATATAAAATGAAGATCCGTAAAAGAGAGTCGATTAAATATTTGTAATGAAGTTGACGAACAGGCATGAAGGAATATTGTAAAATAGGAATAGAAAATGTTGTTTAACAGCATAAATTTTTTGAAGGAAGCAAACTCCGTTACATAAACTAAAATTCTTTAGCGGTACATTTTTTAACCGTTACGTGACTACGAAAGATAATCGCGTGATTTTTTCTTAGAATTATATATTTTTTATTATAAAATAATTAGCAAATAAGAGTAAGAAAATGTTAGAGACTAGATATTTGTGCTTAATAATATTTATATGTTAAATTTTAAATATATCTTTCAGTTATATAAAACTCCGCGCTGATTATTGTCACACAATTTGCAAGATAGATTATATCAATAGATGCTATATTAACTGAAATGATCTCACAAATTAAATTGATCGATTTGATAATAATGCTAGTATTTTAAAACGTTATAAAAAATTTATTGCGAGAAATATTATTATATCTTAACCAGGATTCGAATTTGGAGTTTCCAAACTATTCAAGACGAGTGTCTTTCGATTTGAAGCATATGATATCGTAATAGAAAATTACAAGATGACTCATGTGTATGTGTGTACGTGTGCGTGTGTGTTGCGACAAGCCAATTATAAAAAAATTTGTCGTCTCACACAAAAAGTTATTCTTGAGAAAATTTCATGTATTTGAGGAGCTTTTCTAACTACTTAAATAAAAATTCATCTTGACTTCCTCTCTTGAAAGGAATAATTTCAAATGGAATCTCCTATAAAATGTTACACATTTAAATTGTCAGGGAAAAAACAAGTAAATTTTATCTGGAACATTTTTCTTTGAAAAATATTTCTATTAAAAGTTATAAACATTTAAACTTTAGAGAGTATTTAAACTAGTAATAAAATCATAAAACATAAATTAAATTAAAAATAAAAAACTATAAAGCCTTTCATTTATAATTTTATCATTAATTTGAATGCTCTACTTTAAAGTTTAAATATTTATAACTTTTGATAAAACATTTTTCAAAGAAATGTTCCAGATAAAGTTTATTTGTTTTTTCCTCGTGGAATCTAAATATGTAATATTTATAGGAAGATTCATTTGAAGTTATTTGTCCTCTTTTCAAAAGGGTGAGATAAATTTTTATTTACGTAGTTAAAAAGGTTTCTCGATACATGACACTTTTTTTATGAACAACTTTTTCATATGACAAATATTTTTAGAGTTATTGGTTGTTAAATAACAACTTACTTTACATGGAGCACTCTGTGTACAGAGAAAACGTACATTGAAAGATGTATGTGTATATATATTAGGTGTTGGAATTAATTCGTAGCGTTTTTAATGAAAGAATGTTATTTATTTCACATAAGCATTAAAAAATACATTAATGAAAGTACTTCCCATCACTTGTAAAACGCTACGAATTAATTCCAACACCTAATATATATATATATATAAAATAAATTAAACAAGACCGCTGAATAAATCAAATAAGAAAATTCCAAAACACGGTAAAATAATTTACGATAAATCTGTAGTATTTTACTTGAAGAAACACTTTTTCATACTAACCGTAGGTATTATAAAATCATCATTTAACAAAACTCGCGCGCGTAATTCCGTGTTCATCGAAATCGAAGAATTAAATTAAAGAATTGAAAATTCGAAGGAATTTATACAGATACAAGATCGTAACGGCAGAATAAGAGCTAGCCACACATATTACTGGCGCTTCGGTTATCAGCCGCGACGCGCAGTTATCAGCGTGCGCGCATTTTCCGATGTGAGACACTTCGGCATGAATTCCAATTACTTCACTGAAAGCCTGCGCTCGCAGATCCTCGTTAGCGAAATAGTTTCTCCCTGGTGGGTCGTATTCGTGGCGAAAGGCCGCCGCGAGTTTGCAAAGACCGCGGACATTCGCTTCCGGAACTTCGGAGACGCGGGATGGTACTCGTGCACATCGCTAGAATTCTAGAGCGGCGCGTATGCAAAGATCGCGGTCTCGAGACGGCACGCATCCACTGTACCCAAGTCCGTCAGAACACCTTGTGTCGAATCGATTTGAATTCTGATCTGCGAACCTTTCCGTTTCAATATGTCCGATATTTAGCTTCTTTTGGCTTTCCCTTGTGCGAAGAAATTTCAAAAGATATTCAATTTTTATTTCAAATTTCACGGAAAGAACGATTTTATTATCGGAAATATATCTAAAAATTCAGCTAAATATACATATATACAGATCTGAAAATTTTTGTTGAACCATCAAAATAGTTCTGTATTAGAGGAAACTCAAGCATGATGAGCAATGCTGCGAAAAATTTTGATAGTTGTCTACATAATTATTATGATGGTTCCATAAAATTATTTTCAGATTTGTATATGGTTAAATTTTTAGATACTCAAAATAATTTTGTTGAACCATTAAAGCAATTATGTAGAATTCTCAAATATGATATTAAGTAATATTGTAAAAAATTTTAGGAATCAGCTTAAACTTACGATAGATTTGTCTTACATCATTATTTTGATAGCCAACAAAATTTATTTTCAGATCGGTATTCAAATATATTTTTATGATTCAGTGTTCTTTCCGTAAAATTATAATAAAAATGGATAAAAAATAATATATGCGCTATATAATCTCGTGATACGTAAATAAAACATAACATTTAGAGAAGAAGTTTGAGAGTATAGTTTTTTGTAGTTTTTTTGCCAGACTTTTTTCATTCGCGATAATTGTGTTATATCTTGTGTTATAACGCCATAAAGTAACGATCATAAAGTAACGATCATAAAGTTGATCGCGATTGCCGATTTCGCACATGTATACAAATCTCAAGGGAAATTTCTCGATCGTGCAGCACTCTAGGAAGAGTGACATCCTTCTCTCTCTTCCTTCTAACCCTAACTTGTTCCTAATGCAATGCTTGTGAAAGGCTCTCTTCAGGGAGCGGAAGACCACGCGACATTTATCCGACGAGGAAATAGAGTTGTTGCACAAGCTGCATTTCCTGATTCCCTTCGGAGAAGATAGAGCAAAGCAGAAATCCGTGCAAGTTTAACTGATCTTGATGTCATTATGATGTATTCCATTTCATTTTCTTTCTAAATCTGTTTAACTTTAGTGGAAATTTCTGATGAGAGAGATTAGCAAGAGGTAGTTATTAATTATTTAATTATCTTAGCACATAATTGAATTAAAGAATTATTATTACCATTACGATTAAATTTCGCAAAAATATCACTGATTATCATATCTTCAACGTATTATAAATAGCCAAGTAAATAAATTCAATTCTACGAATGCATTCGTTATCTCATTGATTTTCTGTTGATTCGATACGATGTAATTCTTGTGTAATTAATTGCGTTTCATATCAATAAAATAAATTATAACATCGCATGTATTAAAATTAATGAAAATTGGCACAAATTAATATAATTATTAATAATGAAAAGAATGAAAAGTATTTTAAAATTTAAAGAAAAGGATTTAATATTAAACAGCTTATTAAAATTCAAGATTGTAAGAAATGATTTCCGTGCATAATATGAGACATATATTTTCGTAATTCACAGTAATATAAAATTATTTTTTCAAAAAAAAAAAAAATAAAAGAAGAGCATTAAATGCAAACGAAAAAATTATTCTGCAAAATGTTTTTTAAATACATTAACAAATTTAAAAGCAGTAATAGCTAAAATCACATAAAAATGTTGTAAGAAATTTTTGTTTTACAAAAATAAATTTAAAAAAACAGATAATTTTTTTTTTAAAACGAGAAATATTAATGTAAGAAATATATTATGATTTTATTGTTTAAATCTATTTTCCTAAGTTTAGAAAAAAGAAAAGATTGGAGACAATTTAATATTAATTTCTAAATGACTTATCAGTTTTGAATTGATCGAAGATAAGAATAAATGATTTCCATGATGCGTAACATTAATACATTTTCGCAATCCACGTAATGTTAATCCGTTGATGGGTCGTCCTTCGGTAGCTGCTGGCATTATCCCGTTTAACGGCAGTGAAATCACTATGGCGTAGCGTAATCCCTGTGTGATAATCACGGTGGCTGCAATTCCTGCTCTATATTAGAACCTAGCTTAATATCGCTCGTTTCGGCTTCCTTGCACCCCGTTGATCGATTAACGTCTGTAATCTGACAATTTCTCTTATCTTCCTCATGCTGATGACCTCAATGTTCGCCACAATCGCGCACAATTAAACAACAACAGTTTCCAAGTTCACACTTATCATTTTATTGGTTTTTGGATAGAGATATCTAAGTAAGACGTATGTTTTTCTATTGTAAATAGAAATTTTGATAACGTTGATAATTATGATATTATGATAAAAATTATCAAAATTTCCATTTACATTGGTACCAATCATTAATGCAAAGTATTACTTGGAAAGCAATATTTCAATTTAATCTGATATTACTAAGAAAAAATATGCCAAATTATGTATTACAAACATACTTACTCTTACTTTCTTCATTTAATTTTTTTAGTTTGTTTTCTTTTATTGTTATAATTTGGACTTAATTTAAAATATTTAAAACATTTTATGTTATTATGACTTTGTTAAATTAGATGGGATTTAATAAATCCCATCTTAATAATTGTGCTGCATATTTTCATTTGAACTATGTCGGGTTAGAAGCGATCTATGCTCCCGTTTAACTTATCAAAGTATTCAAGCAAATTTTCTTACTTGAAAGCTACGTAATAATTTTTAACTGAAATTCCTTGTAATTAATCTACGACATTAGATTTTAAGAGCGATTTTTGTGAAAAGTCAGCATTTGATTTTAAAAATCTCGATACAATTAAATTTTGGCTCCTCTCCAAAGAGTTTTGTAATTTCTGTCAGAAGATATTAAAAGTTAAATAGATTTTGATTAAAATCTAAAGAAATCAATCATTTTTGCAATTAATAAAATCAAAAGTTTCCCAATTGCATTCGTGAAAATGTTTTCCATAAATGTGAGGAAACTGATAGATGAGAAACGGATATACTGCTGAAAGCAGGCTGCATATTATCAATTTTCTAGCGCTATGTGGAAAATCGGCGAGTTTGAGAGATAAAAACACGAAAATAGAAAGCTTCTCTCTCGCGGAAGATCTTTTGTGATTTGGCAGCATCTCGCTCAACGAAAACGAAGATGAAGATTATAAAGCCGCAGCTAAAAGACGTGGAAACTGAAACAATGGCCATCGTACTTGTCTTTTTGCTTTTCTCGGTTTCAGAAAATATCTCTGCCCGTCCTGCCCTCCATCGCTCTTTTTTCTTTATTCTTCTTCTCAGCTTCATCACTGCGATTCTTGTTTTTTGTTTTAATCGATCTCTCTTTTCCTTCTTTTGTTGTCGCCCACGCGTCTAATCTTTGTCAGACGAATAGCCGTTCTTTTTCTCGTTTGACCGCACTGCTAATGGAACGCGAATGAGAGGAGGAAAGGAGGGATCTTGAGCTGCTTTCTAATCACTCACCTAATCTCCATCATTCTATATTTATCCGGAATGAAGGATGTCGAAAACAGATATTTAAGCAACGTCTATGTTACATCGAAAAGAATTTATTAAATTAGTATTCTCTGATACGTAGTATATAAATGAAACAGATATAATGAAAAATTTTTTAATACTACGGATAATTCGGATATGAAGTTTTAAGTTATAAATAATTAAAGATAAAAATTACAGAAAGAAAAATTACAAATAAGAAATTTTTGAATAATTTTATATAAACTTATATTAATATAAGCAAATTTATCTTAATTAATTAAAAATTGATTATATATATATATATATACATTAAAAATATATAATTACTAATGTAATTATAACTTAACATTAATATTGGAATTAAGAAACATCTAAAATTTAAAACGTATTTCTGAGAAATAATAAGAACTATGTACTCATTTCCAGAAAATAATAAAGGAAACTGCAGTATTTTAAAAATGGATTTTGTGTATAAATGCTTTGAAAGTAAATGGCTTAATTATTCGAGCGACGAAGGGCTTTAAAGCCTTAGGGAACTTTATCGAAAAAGATGATAATAGCAAAGCAAGATTTCCGTGTCGTGGCACTTAATAGAGTTACAAGAGCGCTAGGAAAGTGGTAGACAACGCACAATTGAAGAGAAGTGTGGCGGAATAATTAACGAATTTCCCAGTGGAACATAAATCGCATTTTAAGCGTCGGAAACCCTATTTTCCGCCGATGTTTCTGGAAAATGGCAGACTTGCCGACGGTGAGATTAGCGTCCACTTGCGTGAAGACGAGCTTTTTAATTGAATTACCCTCGACCCTTTCTCGCGGGGAGGTTTTGTTCAAGAAAAGGAGAGCAACCGCGACAAATAGTCCAGCCGTGCAACACCGAAGCGGCATCGTTATAGCAAGTCGTTGCATACGAATTTACATAAGAAACATGCCACAGTCGCATCTCGCCGAGGAGCTTCTTTTTCCAGGAATTCAATTTTCTATCGTCCGATACTCTCAAGCACGCCGTTTCTGTCGGCTTATGTAAATGGGCTAATGGCCCCGTGTCTGCCACAGGCACTCGTGTGCGGGAAAACGCGTACCAGAGAAAGCTCAGATGCGCAAGGAGTAGCGGAGATTTTGTCACAGACGCGATCCTCCCGGAACGTTACGTCGAGTAGATTTGTATGCACTTAGCGCGCAAATACGGATTCGATTTAAAAAAGTGAGAAAGAAGAAATTCAGATCGATTGCTAATACGTGTTATTTATGACAATAGGAATATCTTAAGGATGTTCAAGATTCGGAAAAATACACAGTCTCTGTAAAAAATGACTGGAATTGGAAATTTTTATTTTCCATATAACAATGAATGTTATGTACATATAAAATAGTTCAATATAGACCTAAGGTCAATATTTATATTTAACAGCGCAATTTTATAATTTAAATAAAAATTCTATTTTATTTTAATTATTTTTTAAAAACATATCTATACTTTTATTGAAATAATTTTTTATTCAAGTTTTAAATTGCCATCAAATTTTTTATAGCAATTTTTTTCATTTTATTTAAAAAATACATATATTACGTTTTTAAGATGGAACAGACTTGTTGTGTATCATTATTACATTTTATTGGTGTAGACGGAGAGTGTTGTTACCGTTACATAAAAAATTAAAATTGTGTTGTTACAATGGGGGGATACGCACATCGTGTCGTATTATTAAATTGATACGCAACAATGATATGACATGCGTATATGCAATAAGTTTGTATCTTCTGTGTTTCAATTAGAAACAAACGCCTCAGATTCTTCTTTCGGCGAGAAAATCAAGATTCAATCATCTGGTGCATTTATTCTGACTGGTTAGTTTTAAATTATTCAATTAAAAAGCTTCCTAAACAACAAATGAGAACGATAACGTCTTCTCGTTGTTTACATGAGAGGAACGTTGGGTCATGCGAAAAAAAGTGATTCTTTCTGAGAGGACGTTTCCTGTAAATTGATCTCCTAATGACACGTTTACTTTTGTACTTATAGGTGGGTGATAGAGACACGCTTACATCAGTGGCAGCAAGATTCGATACGACGCCATCCGAGCTGAGCAAATTGAATAGGCTCGGAAGTACTTTCATTTATTCCGGTCAGCAGTTATGGGTGCCGGCGAAAGGAGAAGGACGTCCGGGAGGTGGATCAACCGCAGATGCGCCCAGTCCTGACCCTTGCCACGATCACGAGTCTCAGGATGACTTACCACCCGAAGAAAAAGGTAATCTTCATCGTTTTATTTAATCTTCTTAGATACTGACTTATTGGGTTATCGTACAATGTTTACTAAAGCTGATATCTTCGAGTTTATATTCAACAAAAAATTACACTTGCTTGCAAGTCCTTTTATCTGCAAACAGAGCATTCAAGATTTTGTAATGGTTGATATAGAATTCTGGGAAAAAGAATTTTAATCGAAACAATTCGCTCTTTTTCTCAGCATCATAATCTCTACATACGAAAAGAACAGTTTTGCTAAAGTATCCAAAAATTAGCTAGAAACCTGAAAATAATTTTATTGGAATAATTAGGTATATAAGATGCTCAAGCTTGTTAGAATATTAACATTTTTTGCAACATTACTCATCATGCTTGAATTTCCTGTATAATTATTTTGATGGTCCAAAAATGTTTTCAGATCTTTATCTAGCTAAATTTTTAGATAGGTACTTGAGCAAAATTATTCTTTCCGTGTAAAGCAGTATAAAAAAATGTTTAATTATATGGATGAATTTTCACCCAAAGTGATGTGTTAATGTAAGAAAAATATGATTCCAAGGATAGAGAAAATTATATTATTGTTTAGCGAACGAAAACGGAGAAGCGGGAATTTGTTTACGTATCATTATGACATTACAGATAGCCCGTAAGAATAACAAGCTTTCGAGGAATAGATAATTAAAACTTTACTAACGATAATCCGATCTTATTATGCTTATCACGTTTATCGTCAAATGCAATATTAAATGGCTTACGAAGTAAAAGGAAGAAATATTTTCGACGACGTTAAAAATCTATTTGCGTTAAAAAGACATAATCCAGCTGCCGCGATAGGAGGTGGTCGTCGAAGGACGACGTGCTCCTTTTTTCTTCCTCTATTACGACGGAACGAGGGCATGCAATTAAAATAGAGCTCTCGTCCTTATTCTCGTCGGATTCGTCGCCCGGGGTCTTGTCTCGCATTATGCTAATACGCAAGACAGATTTGATACACGCGTAGCAGCGTGGGCATGAATAATGCAGCAGGATCTACGGAGTAGCTACGCCCAGGCGTTGTGCGTGATATGCGCTAGATTGGCACTCACCTGACTAAATATACGGAAGAAAGAATTGGGATATCGGATATTATCTGCGTACAAAGTCGACCGTTCGAATGAATATTAATGCGTTACCACATCCGCGTCACGCAGATCCCGAGAGATCGATACGGAGCACTATTGTGACGAACGCATTGCCTTTTCGCGTTTTATTTGCCCGTCGCCTGCGGCGGAACTTCCACATTTCACTTGTCGATTATTATCGATAGAAGTTGGCAATCGAGCTACCCATCGCCGCATATTCGCGCGAGCTAATTAGAATAATTTTGAGCTCGGAATTACTCATCGCATAAATCGCTGTCAGAATATATACATTATCATACTTTTAAATTGTTATACCTTTCTTCGAACTGAATATTGAACACAAATAATTTTGTAAGAGAAAGTTAATTAGAAAAATTGCGTCACATATACTAGATTGAAGATAGAAAAAGTTCATATAAAAAAAGAGAAAGTTATAGAAAAATTATGTAACATACAATATTAGAACATTCGTTTTAGGCTCACTCGCTAAAAGCTTTATTCTATTTTCCTTTCGCATGTGATAAATAAATGATAAAGAATGATAGAATGAAGCGGCTAGATCGTTCAATTATTTTAATACTTTTGAGGCTTTCGCAGGTATTTTCTTGAAGTGCCAAAGGGTTTACGGGTTGTCGTCACACGGATGTCGTGATCTGTTGCTAATATCAACGTTTCATGAATCTTGCCGTTCATTTTATCAGGGCGAGAAGCGCATTGATACTGTATTTATTTTGTTTCAAAAGTTAAAACCGGATAGCTTCCAAATGAAATTGAAAAACTGACTTCAAGGTAACAGACAAGAAAGGAACAAGGTGATTACGCATTAACCTTTAGTACACACGATTGGGTCATTCATGTTTCACAATTTTCTTTCTTTTAAAAAACTAGAAGCCTCAAGTAACTTTTAACATTTATATATAATTTTTTTAAATACACAACCTTACAGGTATACACCTTTCTAAAATGTTAAAGTATAATATTTGTTAGAATCATTTAATAATTTTTGTACATTTATTAAAGTGATGAAAATTAATTCGTGAATGGCTCATCCTGTGTAGTAAAGGACAAGAAAATCATTGTGTGTACTAAGGATTAATTAAATTAATAAATGTAAGTTTCGTTCTTCAACTGTTTTAAAAAATGGCACTTATCGGACGGCCTAATAATAATAAAAAACGAACGGAAATGTAGATTCTCGATGTGTAAAATAATAAAGTAATAAATACAATTTTTTTCCTCAGAAAAAAAAACGAGATACTTTGTATTGTCCGTCTCTTTCTCGTAATGTGTATTGTATCATAACACGTATCTAATTTCTAAAAATATGGAATTGTTTATTTGCGACAACCAGTTCATCCGTATTGGACGCACTTGTGAAGAAAATGATTAATGCTTACGTCGAACGTGATAGAAAACTCGAGTCCTGACGTTACACAATTGCGTGATTCACTACTCGGCTGTTTGTCTGTTTAGCGGAACAATACCAAGCGAATTGTTACGCGTATTCGTTCGAAGTTTATTTATGTCTTCTTTTTCTTCTTCTTCTTCTTCGGGAAGCGCTTTGTCACCGTCGCTACCACTACCGTCGTCGCGATAGTACATCGCACTGCAACGCGAAATATGTACACGCGATCGGAACATTCATGCGACACGTGTGCACGGCATCACGTTTTGTAATGCCGAGAAGATCGAAGAGAAAAGGCGAAAAAAGATGAAGTTGGTTGTGGTCGATCGTGAACCTGCATCTTTTGCGATCTGCATATCGGAAGGTCGACACAGCAGACACCGCGAAAAATGCAATTGCATTACAAAAGTGGCTTAAAATTAAGAACAGGTTTATTTATTTCGGAGAAAGTAAAAAACGAGTTTTTTTTTTAATGATAAAAACTACTTTTTAATCAATATAATATAGAATTCATGAAAAATATATTGAATTCATATTAAATATATAAAAGAACATATAAAATTTATTTTTCTTAATATTATTGTTAAAATATTTGATAGATTTAAGTATACTACTTCTTATAATTATTTGGACGACAGATATCTTATATTTTACTCCGATTTTCAAAGTTAAATAAGTGATGATTCATACTGTTATTAACATAGATAATACTTTATTAGCATAATTGATTGTCTGAAGATAAAAATGGCTGAAAAAACTAGAAGCTTTGAATAAAAAATTTAGTAAAAAAACAAATTTTTTACTATATCAGAATATGTATTTTCTTTAAACATTTGATGCTGTATTATTGTTCTAGAATTCATTTTTTATATCCATCCGTGGCCACGTCATTGCATCAACACAAAGATATTTTTGTTTCAATATTCATAAAGTTATAAAAAAAATTATATAATATCGAAATAAATATTAAATGAAATATAAAAAATGAATTGTATATATCTTTTACAATTTTCATAAAAATACTTTACCGTAAAAAAATCAGTCTTTTATTCCGAAATGAAAAACTTTAATCGTACGATTCGATATTTATATTGTATGTAGACATGTGTAGATATGTACACATATATTTAAAGCTATCAGTGCCTCGACATTTTCATTTGAAAAATCTGAGATCAATAAATTGGTGAGAAGTGAGAATAACCAACGGAATGTAGTTTAAAATATTCTATGTATCATATCGATATCTCATTCAATATTCTTCCATTTTAATTTTTATACTTTTTATTCTCTCTCTTTCTCTCTCTCTCTCTCTCTCTCTCTCTCTCTCTCTCTCTCTCTCTCTCTCTCTTTCTCTTCATTCAAGAACGTCTCAAGTTATTGATCATATGAGATGAACGAATATAGAAATGTGGTATCCGATCGACCATACATGAAAAAGTTAAAAGATAGTTATTTTAAATATGAAGCGGACTGGTTTTAGTTCTTCGATTTTCTTTTGCGGATCACAATGCTCTCTTTCGTCGCAAGTGTCCGCAATATTCATAATATTCTAGAGCATATACGCAAATCATCCGGTATATCCGCGCTCATCAGCTGATCGACCACAGTGTGCGGAGCCGCGTAAACACGTTTCTAACCTATACGTCAGTATAATAATGCCCGTGCTACGTCGTGACGTTGTGGCAAATGAGATGGATGGTGTAATTGCCGATTTCGTCGGAATTGTACACGCGTGACTCGTTACTCGCATTATTACGATGAATAATGAATTACATCGCAACATTCTGGATGTGAGGTTAGATCGACATGAGCAGTCGGAGTTTAAACAAGTGTCACAGCTTATCTTTTATCAGATAACGAATTTTTAAAAATTCACAGGAGTCAGTGGAGTACATTATTGTCGACTCTTCGGTCCAAGTTGATTGATACTTGCATTTTTAATCGAATTTCTTATAAATTATATTAATATCAATATTTTCTTTTTTGATAAAATGATAGAATAAAATATGTACTTGTATATTTTAAGACATATGTTTTTATTTTGCACTTATTATCGCAACGTTTGGTTTTATAGAACTTCTGGATAATCTGAGACCAGTGTCACCAAAGCCAGGCCATATGGAACGTATAAAAACACCTCTTGGAACATCCAGCGTGGTTGCAGATGAAGATGAACAACCATTCAGAGAAAGATTTCTAAAAATTAATGTCAGGCATATCACAGATGGTCAGGTAATTATTTTTAATTTACTATTTAATATCATAAAATAAATAAACTTTGCCTAAATTAAAGAAATACTAGGCAGCATGTCAGGATATATCATGTTTGTAAGATATTTTTAAGATACCTTTATATATCATGTCTGTGAATTTCGACATGCATGCTGTCTGAACATTATCGAAACTTGGGCTAAAATTATCTTAATTTTGGAAAGATATTCTATTTTATTATATCTATAAAAATTCCATACAAGAGTTTTAACATTTTCTAATATTGAAATATTCTTTTAGGGTGTAGTCGGCGGTGTGCTGTTAGTTACACCAAACGCAGTTATGTTCGATCCAAACGTATCTGATCCTCTTGTTATCGAGCACGGTGCTGAATCTTATGGAGTGATTGCTCCCATGGAATTCGTAGTCAACGCTGCGATTTATTACGATATCGCACACATGAGAGTCTCCCATACCGAATCCGGACATTTAGATAAAAAACCTGAAATTTATTACATGAAAAAACCCCAAATAGATAATCGTAAATGTCAGTCTCCGGGGAAAGATGAAAATTTCCCTGAATTAGCAGGCGATGATAGCGAAAGTGTATGTAGTTGTGCCGAGAGAGACGGCGATGCTTTTCCAAAGGCCTTTGAGCGAGAGCTTGTCACTCCTACCAATCTCCAGAATGTAAGTATTTTTTTGTTGCAATGTCAATTTATTGCAATGTCAATTTATTATATAAAGCAAAGTGTTAAAATTATATTTTAACGAATATATTGTTATTATAGGAGGAGAATTTAACCTCAACCAAAGATAAAGAGAAAGAGAAAGACAGTAATGAGAAAGAATTTTGCACTGGCGGCCAAGCTAGTAGAACTTTAGAGGAACGCAGACGTTCCATGCTTGACCATCATTGGGCAGTTCCTAGCAAAGATCGAAGTACATTTTCAGTTGATGACGAACAACAAGATTCACTAAATTCTGATAAGGTAATATTTCTTTCATGATATAATATAGAGAATTAGTAAAATTTATATAATAAATTGAAATTGGGTAAACACATAAGACAATTATAAAAAATATACATTTAGAAACAATTGTTACAGCAGGCGGAACCACCAGCTAAATCAAATGCTATTCCTGAGGACGAAGAAGGATCTCTAGTCAAATTGTCGTGCCATGATTCTGGTATCGATATCCGTGATCCTAATCCACCTATTCCAGTAGTACAGCCTATACCATCAAAAAAAGTTTACTCAGATGCCGATATTGTTTTATCCTCGGATTGGGTTCCTCCAATAACAATAGCACCAACGAATGTTACGAGTACATTGGAAGCCAGTTCTGCTATTAATGGCAGGAAAAAAGCCAGCTCGGTGTCCTTTAGCTTAGAGAGTAACGCAGAAGAGCCCGAAAAGGATGAAGAACACAAAGAGGATGATAAACAGGAAACTCGAAAGAATAAGGTATATATTTAAATTTAACATCGTAATAATGCGGAATTACTTTTTATAGATATGTTTTATGTATTTGTTTTGACATTTTAGATGCTAAAACGTCTGTCGTATCCATTGTCCTGGATGGAAGGTTTAACTGGAGAGAAGGATGAAGAGAGCAGTAAATCCATCTCTGACAAAATGTCAAGCCTTCCAAACAGTGCGGATTCCCATCATTCCTCTGTTTTCAGCAAAGTCTTCTCGAGGTGAACAAATTTATGTCATATTATATTGATAATTATCGATAAATAACCTAGCGTGTTTTAAATATATATGACATTTTTACAACTGCTTTTATTTTTTCACACACTTCTATTTGTCTATGTTAAGAATGATTAACATTCTTGCAAAAATGCATATTCACAGAAAAAAAAACGAATAATTTTATCGCTTTTATTTTAACTTGCTTTTTGCGAATTTCCATAGAATATAATATGCAAATGAGGTTATTTGTAAGCAGTTATTCTTTGTGTAACATGTGCGTTTATTGTATCTTTTTCAGAAGATAAAATGTACTTTATCTTTATGAAACTGATATAGCCTCATTTGTGTTAAGTCTTGTGTTCACAATGCTATAAATTGCTCCGAGATCTCAAATAGAGAAAGAATTAAAATAAACTACATTTGAATTCGATCACATGATCAGTGCGATTGGTCAATTTTTTCTCCGTCCGAGATCTTGAACCGATTTCTAGCATCATGGATAATAAGATTTTATAATGTAGCATATACTAGCTACTTGCATAGGAAGAGCTTCTAGCATATGAAAGACATTACAAAATAAAAAACTTGAAAGGAATATACAAATATAGGTACATGTATGTTATAGATGATCAGTCTAGTCATCCAAAAGACTGATACTTATTGTGCAGTCAATTGTGACGATATTCCGAGATGTTTATGTTTAAATATTTATGTTTATGTTGCGCCTATATTGCTTACGATATGAATTTAGATATTTATTAACGCTTCACTATTATTTCTAATGTAACTAACAAAGAATATGTAATGGTGGTGGAAAAAAGCTCGCCGATCAACCTGGTGAGTGACTTTAGCTCGGGCCTGTTTGCTAAAACTCCCAGCGAAGAGAGTGGCGGGGGCGGTAGAGCGGGCGGAACTCCTCCGCTTACCGCCTCCTCTCTCTCCCAGGACTCCAGCAATTTCTCACCTGGTCCAGGAAGCCTCATTGGGTGAGTCTGGACCCGATCGTAACCTTGTTGTGTTTCCCTCTTTTTCCTATTTCTCTATTTTTATTACCTGATCTATCTTTTATCTGATCGACTTTTGTATGTGTCGATTCAGAAGTATTCTATTCTAGTAGAATTCTCCTTCAATATTGCAATTACGAAAAGAGAACATTATATTATTTGAATCTTATAAATGTAAATATTATAAAAATAAGATTATATATGTATTATGCAATTGTCAAAATATTCGGAGAATTCTGCTGTTCCAACGTTTCTCCTTTCCACACATCTCTCCATTGTTTTGTTATTATTTTTTAATTTTGAAGACACTCTGGGATTGAGGGCTCCTGTTTTCAGGTAATCACATTATTTGCCGAAAGACTCAAACAATAGATATTGTTGATACTATTTTTCAGATCGCTTACAGCCAAAACATAATCAATTTAACACAGCGTTTAATATCCTCAAGCAGTCATATGATTTATTATTCGTCATTTGTACTGGACTTATACCTTGATTGTTATTTCCCATTATTATTGTTATGGATGTTATTATATATTATACATCGCTTCTGAATTATAAGGATGTACAAATGTATTTTAATCTAGTTAGATATGTCAACTAACATGTACTTGTTATTCAGAAGCGTTTAGAATGTTGTCTGATAAGAAACTCTTTCCTTATTATTAGACAGCAACCTTTAACATCTTCTGGCAGCAGCAGCGTTGATAGCAGTCGAGGTAGCAAAACTTCTACGACGGCACCTCGATTGGATTACCGCAGTATGGTCTCGGTCGACGATATGCCGGAATTATTTGTGAGTTTCGACAGTAAGTATCACGATCATATAGAGATATATTCATAAAATATTTCATGTTCTATCGGAATGGATAGTCTAATAATTATGAAGATATACTCCAACAGACTTTCCTCTTACACAAAACACTTCGCTATTACTTTCATATGACATTTAATATTGGTATCGATATGGATAGAAAATGATTAATTAATAAGAAGGGGTTAGCAAACGGGATTAATATATCACGCACTGCACTTGCCCAAAAACGCATAGATAGCTTTTTAAACCGTGTTATTTTGCCAATTTATTGTCCCTGTTTCAGAATTTTTGAGCGCCTTTGGCTATAATTATTATAAATTTGCGCGAAAATTTCATATTTTCTAAATTTTATTAATATCATTAATTTTAAACTGTCGAGCAAACCCGGGATTAGTAACCAAATGCGCTTATCTTGGTGTACATTAAATTTATCACTGTTTTAGATCATATTTGTTTATCATTATCAGTTTCATATGTCATTCTATTACATAAACGTTAAATATTATTATTTTCTTTGATATATATAATAATTCGAGCATTTCAAGGAAAAAATAACATGAATAATGCAGGTCTTCTTTACATAATTAATTTTTTCCTTCATCGATCTTAGTTTGTATTTTGAAATATAAGTATTTTACCAAATGATATGTAAGGAAAAAGATTTAACTGAAAACAAGCACTTTTCATAACATGTTTCTTTATAAAATATACCTTCAGAATCTTGAAACCCTTTGTGCCATATTGCATGTGATGAACGTATTGTTCCAATTTAAATGATCTTTTAATAATTGTTATTTGAAAGCATACTTAGCATAGAATTTCAAATTTTTCGCGTACTAATCTTTTCTATAATAATCGAATAACAAACATAATAATCTTTAAAGCCATCTATACTATTCCTGCGAAATGTATGTGATATGTTCGATTGTTATAGATTTTGATAGTAATTGTTGTATATTTCTGCATTGATTGCTCAATCATATCTTTCTGTCTCTCTTTCTCTTTAGTAATGTTTTATCTATTTCAGATTAGCACAACGGGTTTCATCATTTAGCTAGCAATAGGTTCATACTAATGCAGTAATGTCATTTGTTTCTGTTGCCCCTCTAGTCCAAGCACCTAATTTTCCCGAACTCGAAGGCCTGGGTAGGTTCATACAGTATTAGCTTGCTCTTCTCCTTGTGCCGCGAATTCCCAATTCTTCAGTTGCCTCTTTCGTACGTCAAACGTATTAATGTTTTTGTCTGATTTTATTTACTGTCATGCATTAAACATTATTTGCGCAATTTACGGGCGACCATATACTGTATCACTGTAATGGTTATTTCCATTTCATCACTATTTCTTGCATATGTTATATAATTTGTCAAACTCTTCTACAATATTTGTGCAATATGTACATACTACTCATCTATCCTCGATTCTATCCTCGTTGCTATTGTTATTCCTTTTACACGATAATTCTTACTCTAACATCCTGTACTCACTTTTTTGTGGTAATGTGCTTGCCTCGTTTTCCAATTTTATTCGTGTTTTCAACTTATCTGTGTATTTTTCATGTAATTTTGATAACAATTCTTTTAAAAAACACAAGAAATAATCTTACATATTTATAAATATATAGGAGCTTCTTATTGTGAGTCATATTGCCTGGATTCGCAGATACTATATTCGAAAGATAAATCTGTCGATTAAACTCTTATTACTAAAGTATCTAATCTACATTGATCTTTATTCATCTGATAAATATTTTGCACATTACGTAGAACTGATTCCACGACCTGCTCGTTCTTGCGAGGACCCACCGTTGTACCTGAGACTGCGAACAGGAAGACCCAAGGACAAGAAGATACCACGATCGACGCCAATTATGAGCTACGGCAAGAAGAAACTGCGTCCCGAATACTGGTTCAGCGTGCCACGCAACAGGTAATTGTTTCTCACATTTTTGATCTCTCATCGATGTCTCGTCCTTTGAGTTATTGTAATTTTATACGTAAAATACGCAAATAGAGTTCGAAACTCTGTCATTGAATTGTTTCAATTTACGCTGTAATTATTTATAAAATATCTACACTACATACCAAAATAGTACATGAACTTCTCTTACAATTAGATGATAGAAATTAAAAACTATGCAATATAATTACGGTTGCTATCTTTTGACTAGTGTCTCACTGGAGATTAACGATTCCCTCAAGAGACTTTTTTGCTATTATCCTGCCAAAGATCGATTATTATTGACCGATCGATTAAATACCGAAATTATTACTTTCTTCCGTAATACTTTGTGCTCTCTGTAAAAAAAGTCATCAGATTTGGCCTTCTTAGTCGGAGAAATTTTTAGTTCATTCGAAACTGAAGGAAAATCGAGGAAAATCACGTACACACTTATAAAAAAGGTCATCAAAATTTAGAATCAAAATTAGTCGGAGATTTTTTCATCTGCCGGAGAGTCAGAAATTCGTTCAAAAAGTCAGAATCTCCGACTGAAAATCGGAAAAGTGACAACTGCAAATATAATGTTTGAATGAATTAATTCCAAAACTTTTTCGATCAAATTTCCTCAGGTTTCCAAACAATTCCAATGTTACCAAATTTATAAAGAATTTATTGTCGATGGAATAATTTTCGATATTATATAATTTTTTTATACTCTTTGTTTTTCGCCTCGCAGTTTATTTTAGCATGTTCATGTCAAAACATGCAATTTTATACAACAAGCTCGACGAATCTTTTTATTAACGCTTAACGAGTTGTCATCGGGAAACGATTTATAGGCGCTGCATTGTACGCGATAAGTCAATCACTTGATCGTGCATGAATAAATATTCGACGGTGACGTTTCTCGAGTAAAAACACACCGATAAATTTCCTTCGGACGAAAATGTTTGCTGCGTTATTTTTGTACATATGGCCGATTTATCGTACGGCCATCTCCACGAAAGAACGGCATCCAGAACACGGTACGACCGGACACGTGCTTCGTCGCAAGACACGCAAAATAGATTTTCGCCGGAACTTCTATTTATACGCTCGCTGATGCTCGATCAAGGTTTTGTTGCGCGTCGGCTGCCAGTATTTTTCTTGTTGTCACATGTGTTTAAAAACTATTAGAATAATGAAATAATGAATACTTTGCTTGCATGTGTGAAACATAAACTTAGTACACTGAATTTAAAAAATGACGAGAATGCACCACAATTTTTCGAGAAGTAACTTAGGATTATACTAAAATCATTAATTTTGTTTTTTTAAATCTATATATTTATTTATCGTATCTCTAAAGTAAATGTGTTTTAATTTTAAAAGAAAGGAAGAAAGAGACACACGTCCCCTTTGACTGCATTTGAAAACACTAAGTACCTTCAAAAGGTATTTTCCTTGTTGTTTACCGAATATTAAACAAAAGATTAAAGTGATATTTGGAGATACTCGAGTAGTTTTCCAATACGCCCTTTAAATGCGTGTTGTTGTTTAATTAAGGTAATGATCGCGATTCTCAAAATTCCCATACATACAGTGGGAGCAAAAAGTATTCGTATAAAGAAATTTGTTATAAAAAAAGTCTTATTTGTAGAAAATAAACATTAATTAGCAATTTTATATAATAAATTCTGTTCTATTATAAACAAACGAGCTTCGCATGTATTCCTGATTTTAGAAGTTAAATTTCTCGTCTGTACTTTTTGAGCATTCAAACAATACAATTTTTAATTTTTGTTTATTTTTCGGATGATATATTTTGTATAATTAATACACATCATTTTGATATATATAATTTTAAGAAACATAGTCTATTTTTTTATTCTTTATGAATAAATTGTTAACCATTATCCAACAAGAAATGATCATTAATTAAACGTCGAAGCGACGTCAAATTAGTGCTAAAATCATCGAATTTATATCGATTCGACTCATTTCTCGCTGGATAATATTTACTTTTTAAAAATAAAATTTTTTTAAAAAATATTTTCTCTGTATGAATACTTTTTGTACTCATTGTATATTATATATTTATATCGCAAATCTCGTTAACAGCCTTCTTTGAGTGTCACTTGTTTACAAATGTCATCAGCTATTTCCCAGTATTGCGATTGTATTGGATAATACGCAATATTAAGATCTTGGCGTTCGTATATATTAAGATTTATCGATAGCGATATTTTTTCGTATCAATCTGGAGTTCCGGTAATCGCTCTTATATTATCAGATAGATTTTAAATTACCAAAAATATTACTATCATTATAAGCCTGTAAGTATTAGAAGAAAATTGATACACATCTATGTCAACAAGTGATGAAATAAAGCTTTTTTTTTTGCGTATTTAATATATATATTTTTAATAAGAGATGCTCATATACATCGTGTGATCTGACGACTTTTTCAACATAGAACCGCGGGTCTAAATTAACCCAATTAAGTTCAAGATTAATTTGGCTTTTTACGAGAGAGAGTTGTTACTCTAAAAGGTAAATTACTTGTAATTAATTATGATTAGTTATGAAAAAAATCACAAAAATTTAAAGCTTCATGTGCAAATTAATTGGAAGAGAAAAACTATCAGATGGATTAAAAATGTCACAGTCACAATTTTAGTATTCAAAAATTCTTTTCATTTCTAATATTTCAATATTAATATTTATTGAACTGTCGATTTAAATTTAAATATCACGAGCAAAGATTTGTTACAATAAAAAATTTCAATTGGAATTCGATGGATTGTGTATAGCTAAAAAAATATCATTGAATACACATTTATCAGTTAATCTATTATTGCATATCTTTTTTTATATAATACAAATATTAATAAATATTATTTTGTATATAATACAAATATTAAAAAAACTATTCATAGTCTCGTTTTATTGCGATGACGAGAGCTTTTAGTTTAAAACTAGATAACATTAAATAAAATTCAACGATGATGTAATCTGAAGATAAAGTTATTGGAGTGGTCTAGAAAACAGATCGATAGATTAAGATTTAATATTTTTATTAAGCAAGAGATACGTACATATGTGATGTTTTTTGCGTTACAGTTGCGATTTATAATAACGATATCCCGAGTTGAATTAAAATTTACGACTTTGTGTCGCATCAGCGACTGGAGAATAATTTTTCACGAAAAGGATGGTTTTGCCGAAATATCTAAATATTTAGCTAGATACAGATTTGAAAAGAATTTTGTTGAACCATCAAAATGTTTGAGATTTCTACGTAATTATTTTAACGATCCAACAAAATTATGTTCAGATACGTATCTAACTACATTTTTAATTAATATATATAAATGTATATAAATTATTTTCAGATATATATCTAACTACATTTTTAGAGTAATTTGAAATCATTCTTTCTGTATTCATATCAATCCAAGAATGAATTGTAAGAGAGAGATAATTTTATAGTTTTAATCTTTGAAAATATACGACAGAAATTCATGGAAAGAATGATTTTGCTGAAATATCTAAAAATTTAGATATATAGATACAGATTTGAAAATAATTGTTGAGCCATCGAAATAATTATATATAGGAAACAATGAGCAAAACTGCAAAAAGTTTTGATATTCTAACAACCAGCTTGAACGTTCTATATAATAGTTTAACAAAATTATTTTCAAATCTATATCTAGCTAAATTTTTAGATATTTCAGCAAAACCAGTTTTCAGCAAAACCAGTTTTAAAGTGAGTTTTGAATTTGTTAGGTTTTACATTCTCATGAACGCCAGCAAGAAAAACTGCGAGGAGCAGTTTAAAGCCTTGACTGGTAAAAAAAAAAAGCTGAAACAATGATATCGGCGCGACTACAACGTTCCGCGTGAACGTATAAAATAAAAGTGCAGGTACACCGAGCAAATCAGCAGCACGTGACATATGTACGCGAATCGCTTGTCGACATTCGCGACGTATCTGGTAACTACTCCGTTTTCCGGTCGTTCTCCACGTTCGCTACGTGTGTTCGCGTATCGCAAAGTGTCTCGCGTTACGTATCCCGGCGGCTCCGTCGAGGGACAGCTTGCCGTAAATCAATCGTCAACGTGTCGCGCGTAAATAAAAAAGTATTACGGCGAGAAATACGTACATATATTATTGGAATTGTCAGGAGGTTAGAAACGGAGACCACTGATAGCAAATATAGCGATCACTGATACGCCGCGACAGTCTGATAATTTCGTCGCGCGCAACGTGATACTTTGAGTTGACTAGTTCACGTTGTTTCTCATTATTCGCCGTTTCTCCCATCCATCTCCCGCCTACGACGCGGCGATGAATGGAACGATGAGCGCGATCGGCGGTATGCTGAATTTTATTTACGACCGCCACGTGAGAGGAGCGGTGACAAGCGTGATGCCCTTCGTGCATCGCAGGTAAAACATAGTGTATGTACGGCTGCGACGCAAGAACAAGTCGCGAAACGCGTTATTGAATTTTGTTTATAAACTCTTATGTAGATTCAAACATAAAATTTCTAAAACTAAGAGCTATAAAATTATTCCTCTTTGCACAATTTATTCTTATAGATTAGTATGAATGATTATTTTTCGGTTTTTCAAAAAAAGAATTCCAGATTAACGCGTTACATCAAAAACGTTACACATATATCTACGTTTCATGTAGCAAAAAAAAAATTAAATTTTAATTTATGATTTATTTTATTACTACAATAATTTTATCTTCAATTTGCATCATTATTGAATTTTGTTTATAAATTCTTATCTAATTTCCAAAATCTTTAAAACTAAGAATTGTAAAATTATCTCTCTTTTTGTATTACTTATTTTTGTATTACTTATTTTTGGATCGATATGAAAAATCATTTTCTAGTCGAAAAAATATTAAGTGAATCAAAGATGCCACACATACATGTTTCATATACGTATAGTAATAAAAATATTAACTACTTTGATATTTTTATTATATATGTAACATTGATATTATGTATGTAACACGGGAGGAAGATTACGTTTTTATATAGTTTTTGCGTAATAGCAAAAATATTACAGTTTCATCCATGATGTCGATCTATTTTTATTTTGATAAAAATCTCTTTTTTTAATACAATTTTTTGATACAATAAATTTATCTTTAGCTTATATTATTGTTAAATTTTTTTTATGCATGCGTCATAATTGTATAAAGAAAAATAATTTATTAGATTATTTCAACTCTTGTTTAGTTTCAAATTAAAATTTATAAAACTAAAAAGTTTTTGAATTATTTCTCTTTGTACAATTTATTTTTGAATCTGTGATTAAAAAAAATATGCGAATTGGAAATATCACACGTATGTCGCATAGCAAAAATATTAAATTTTAATCTATGATGTCGATCTGTTTTTTCCATTAAATTTATTGTCAATTTCTTTCTTACATTATAATTGAATTTTGTTTTGTTATAGACTGTTTCAGTTTTAAACTAAAATCTTTAAAAATAAGATCTCAAAATTATTTCCTCTTGTACAATTTATTTTTGGATTGATATAAAAAATTATTGTCTGGTTGAAAAAACATCGTGAACGAAATAAAAACGCAAATAAAAAATATATGTATAGAAACAAAAATATTAAATTTTAATCTGTAATATTGATCTTTAAATATTTTAGATATTTAGATCTTTCCAATAATTTTATTTTTAACTTACATTATCATTAAATTTTATTATTATAAATTCTTATCTAATTTAAATAAATCACTTATCTATACATAACAGTAATATTACGATTTTTTTTACATTTTCTACAGAAAAGATGCGCAACAATAATACACACTGTAGCACTAAAGTTCGATAAACATCATTCTGATGTTTAATATGTAAATGCATGCAACAAATTGCGGCCTATTGTAAATTGATGTATCTAGAAATACGTTTCAACATACTGTACGTCTGCTTTTAACGAATGCACAGTGCAAACGCAGATAAGTTACGAAGAATAAACATTATCGAATGAAAATAGAGCAACGAGTTAATATTAAGTTCTGTTACAAATTAAACAGCATCGAAGATGAATGGAATGTTGTACAAGTTTACGGGAATGACGAAGTAACGCAACTTGACAAAAACTCTGACACCATCCGACGTATGAGACAGCTGATAGCAAATGATTCTGGGCTGATTAATTACAGACGAACTGCACTATAATCGAGAAATGATTTGCATCCTACAGAAAATTTCTACTTGTCTACAGAAAATTTCTGCCTGTCAAGGATTGTCTAGTACGAGGCTCGTCCTTTAACATTTCTTTTTCAGGAGGAAACGTGCAAACTAATTCTACACACATTTTCGCGTTACTACTTCATTCTCGTAAACCTGTTGCAATTGCAACATTCCGTGCGTCAATTACCCAATTTATAACAGAACTTAATGTTAACTTTGCTTCATTTCCGTTTGATGATGTGTGATTCTTCGTAACTTGTGTGTATTTGCACGTAGCTTAGTTTCATGCTACATAGATTACTAGTGATTCACGCTGAATTTTCCGTTTCATTTTTTTATTTTGGCAATAAATAGTAACGTAATTATAAAATAATTTTTGATATCATATGTGGATAGATAATTATAATATATGAAGTAATGGGTTTATTAGACTTTTTATTTTATAATAATAATTTGAAACCATTATGAAATATATGTTATTCAACAAATTTAACAAACGATTCGATCATGCAGTGGCGTTCACTAATGATCTATGCTATAAAAATAGCATAGATCATTAGTGACCTCCACAGCATGGTCGAGTCATTAAAAATTGACGCTACACGAATTGTATTAATTATCGCATGACTTTAGTCTATTTGCGTTGCTTACATTTTTTTAGAAATTTATTTTTTTAGAATGCTTCATTTTTTCTTTCTTCATTTGCTCGAGTATATACGCTGAGAAAAAAATATCCTAAATTTCAATGAATATTTATTTGAATAGTGTCAACTAAATATTTATTAAATATAAAAATATATTTATTCAGTACAAAAAACATTGATTTAACAATCTTTTTATTAAGTAAATTTATTTATTGTAAATAAATATTTAGTTGATAGTATTCAAATAAATATTTATTTAAATTTAGACTATTTTTTTCTCAGTGTACTTATTTTGTTTTAAATGGTGCAGTGGTCAAGTCAAGTCACTTAAAATTGGTTCGACATGAAATATGTTAAGAGCAGCATGCATGTTGGGACATGCATATACAATACATCAAGTTTCAATTAAAAATTTCTATAAAAAATTGTTTACTTAGTATTACTGTAGTATTACTTAGTATTACTTAGTATTACTTAGTATTATATTACTGTAGTATTTATTCATGATAAATAAGTTAATAATAAATATTGAATTTAGGACGAATTTTTTTGAAACTTGTTCGGCATTGCCAAACAATATAATTGATGTATGTATCGTTTCTTTTTTTTTTCTCTTTGCAGAGTGGACGATCTGTATAGGTTCATTCATGCGTGGGTGCCGAACCTATACGGTGAATTGGATGAGAACTACTGGCGAGAACGTGGCTACATCCTGTCCGACACCGACACTGACCTGTCGCCGGAACTGTCACCCCACGAAAGCGGCGAAGGCGCGGATTCCACGGAGGAGAACAAGGCTCGCGATGGACAAGGTGATGACATCAGCGAATTGACAAGGGAGTCCTGGGAGGTGAGTACCGTGACTGTTAATGTGCGACAGAATGTCGCTGAATGTCCCGTTACACTTTTCTAATATCTAAGTAGAGACTGTGTTACAAAGTTGCTACTAAAGACCGAAGAGTCTTGAAACTTTTATTCTTGATAAATTATATATAAGAATAAGAGCTTTACTTTACCGATCAACTTTAAATTTTATTCATCATTTATAAGTCTGTCGTTATTGTCTGCAGTTATTTAAAATTTATATTTCAACAGAAATTCGAGTCTTGCATCAATGTCGTAAATATTTAATGCGGAAAATAGAGTTGATGATCACGACCTTCATTTAAAATTCTTGCAGAAAAATTGACTTTAGATTTGATGCGATGAAATCACTAATTTCAAATTTTGCCGTATCGCATAATTTGTTGAAGAAAAAAGAGATTACTATGTTTCATATTTCTCAAAGCGCAAAGATCTCTTTTTTATGACTTTTGCGAACATTTCTAATTTCGCTGATAACCCGATCCTCGTGTCGACTGACTATCGAATAGTGCCGAGCAACGTTAAATGTTCCGCGAAATCGCGTGCAATCCGATTGTTATCGATAGTAACATCAAAGGCTACTCTATTCCGGCGTTTGTTGTCACGATTGTCATCAAACGCGTCGGCTGCTGTTGATTTTCGACGCGAGGATCGCACGGAACTCGATGTATCTCAATGATGCCGGGATCGAGGATATTTGCTAAACACGGCCGATTCTATTGGCCGACAGCTGATCAAGGCCCCCTACGTAAAGCTGTACAGCATCCTGAAGACCTCGAGCACATCGGCCGATTCCGAGCAGATCCAGGATTCGGAGGTACCGATCACTCCGCCCACCTCCCCGGTGATCGATGATATCTATCATTAGGCACCCTAATTGCTCGATGTTGAACAATGCACTTTTTAGATAACACTGCCGCACCCTAGACAACCTTGTTAGCTCTCGGGTGCACCTGACGTTGTCACGCGATGTTGCGGCCGTGCCTATCGTTTGATGTCCTTTTTCTTTCTTTTTTTTTAGCTGACTTTTTCAGCTCGCTTTGTGCCCGCTTCGATTGTTCACGTCGATACATTCAATTACCATGACTGAGGATCCTGTTTTGAAATCTTTAACGATATTATTATTGAAAAATTGTTGTTAGTTAGAAAGAATTTATTCTGTAACAAAAAAAATAATGATAAAATTGTTTTAAACTCAACAACAGTTAGAAAGATGTTATTAAGATTAGGACAATTTTATTTTTTTGTTATAGAATAAGTATATTATCAATTTTTTAATTATAATATCGCTAGGGAATATAATACGTTTCTTATTAATTTATTAATTTTTATGATACGAGATAAAATATGTAAAGAATTCTTTACGATCTTGTTGTTCACACTCTTGCTGTCTCATTCCTGTCCTCGCGGTGATTCATAACAATGTACAGATCAATATACCAGGAACATCTTTTAGTAATAATTCGTTTAATTCGTTCTTATATCTGTTAGTATTTGGATCTTATTTGAGCTAGGTTTATCTTCCAATTCTTATCTCGACGAATCTCACATCACTCGCCGAAAACAGACTGCATGCACCTGTTCCTTCTGGTCGTAGAATATATTCTCAACTAGAATCTAGATGAATGTGCAGCATGCACTTATTCAAACTCTCCATCTCGCGCATGTATTATGTTTTTATCGTATCTCATTATTATTATCTTGTTTTTCTCTCTCTATATATATTTATATATCTCATAATACGTTTCAACAGTTTTCGTTTACGCAGATTTCTATCACAGATTTCTGTGAGCGATTCGAAATACTTGCAGAACATACTTTCCATATTTAGTCGATTCTTATACGATGCGGCTTTATGCAAATCGGTACTGCGTCGAAGACGATAAAGATTATCGATTCCAAGGCGAAATGGTAATTGTGATAGACAGCATCGTGTTGTGTCGTGAGTGCGGATACGAAGTAAAGAAACACAATATAGTTAGAGCATAAAAGACCGGTAAGTCTCTCTCATTCCCTTGACTATTTATATTCTCTTAAAGAAAATAACTGACGGATAATAGAATCTCTCTCTATCGTTAAAAAGCATTTAATAACACTTTCTTATGAAAAGGTGGTGGACAAGCAGTTTTTAACTTGTTTACGGAAGAATGAGGTTTTGACGTTTACGTGCGTAATGCTGCGTATACCTTGCGTGATGTAAGCATGCAATAATGTAAGCTAACTTGTGTCAAGAGTCACTCTATGAACTAGTCGCCGCTTGCATAATATTGATGCATTATTGATGAGAATTGACACAGTCGGTGTAAATTGACACAGATGTAATAGATAACTTTTGTTTAGGAAAATAGGCATTTATCTTTCATACACTCAATTATTTGCAGAAAATTTTTTTTCTTGAAAATGTTAGGTTAAATTATAAACGCTTTGTTTCGTAATTTTTAAATCTTATCTTATTTTATAAAATAATGAGGATTTATTAATATATATAGATTAATACATTGCATTCTATTGTGAAATAAGTAATAATGATTTTATTGAGATAAAAACAAATTTGATATCCGAAAAGAGGTATGACAAATACTTATCGTAATCAGATCATTGATTCCAGATAAAGATTGATTTAATTTTTTCTGATGTGAATTCGAAGAATATTTTTTTTTATTTACAGCTGTTCACTTTTCTCTCTTTATGTAACAAAATTACACATAAATTTATTAATAACAGAATGATATAGGTGTAGTAAAAAAATAAAAAAAAAATAAAAAAATTTATTAAGACTAACATATTCAATAAAGTAGCATAAAAAATTGATACAATGAAGTTTATAAATCTTTGAATTATTGTCTATGCAAAAGTAATTCAAATTTGTGGGAAGTCACAACGGATAATGTTACTAATTTAAAAAGATCATTATTAACAAAAGCGTATTATAATCCACTCGCGAGAGTATTTTTCTGTCTTGCAACATATTTTTGACCGTTCAAAAATAAACGATGAAATGCTTTTTTTTTCACTTATTTTTGAACACTCGCGCGGTGTTTATCGTAAAGCCAGACATAATTTGGCGCTTAAAAATGTGTTGACTCAGATTTCGCTTAACTCTACTTTTATCCACAAAGTAACGATATACCATGCGGAAAACTTTCCAAAGAAATACATTGAAAGTTATATTAATTTTATCAGCATACACTGGTGGATGCTTGCAAGATATATATATAATTAAAGATGAGAATAACTTCCGAACTAATTAAAAGAGTTACTTCCAGAACTAATTAAAAATAAGTTTACAACTAGGTAAAGACAAAGATAAGTATAAAATGAAGATGAATAGGTCTTCACGAAATAAGTACATTCAAGCAACCGTAAATGACTGTTGAAGAATAGTGACTAACTTAAAAGCTATAAAATTACTTATTTTTCAAGATTACATTTTTCTACTCCACACAGAATCTTGAAAAGTTGAATTAATATATATAATTGTTTTCTTAATCTTGTCTAAATTAACGTTGATTTGAGTTCACGGAAGATGGTTTCTTGTTCAGGACAGTGTAAGGAGATTTGGAGATCACGAGAGATTTTTAGAACAAGTAGCACGTGTTGCGCAAATGAGGATGCGCAGTCGTGAGGAAAGCATCTGTCGAAGTATATACGTCACTCGTTTCTACTCCCCTCCTCTCGTTCTTCACTTATATGAATGTATTAGATTTACTCCGAAAGCTCCAGTACGGCTTCAATCCTCGTAAAGTGAAGTTCTCTTATTCAATTGACTCGCCAATATAAATAGAAAAGACTAGATAACATAACTATTATGCAGTAAGGCCTAATATTGAATATCTTAACATTATTTTAATTAAACTAACTCGTCAGAATATCAAATTGCGATATTGAGCAAGGTTTCACTGTGATTTGTCAAAGAACATTACATTAGAAAAAAAAATTAAGTTACGTTTATTCATTCGATTATCGCTTTACTTCTTCAAAAGGAACTTTGTGTTCCTCGAAAAAATATAAATATAATATTAGTGCGTGAGGCATAATGTAACTGAGGCGACTTTCACATGATTTTTTATTTGTGAACGAAGGAACGAAAGATTGAAATTCAGGAAAAAGGTGCTGACTGCGAATTTTAGTATTCATTGAAAATAGCGCGAGTGATCCAGGATGCCGAAGTCAAAGATGCCGAATCCAATCGTCAAGATCACGAAATTCTTGAAACAGAAAACGAAGGTAAAAGTCAGAGTTGAGGCGAATGTACTCGCGTCTTTTAATTACGCTTACTTTTCTACGCGCACAAATGTCTCCAATTGTGGAATTGTCAGGAATGTTAATTTAGAAATCAATTTAAAATTATGTAATAAAGAGGATTTTGCCTTGGATGCCTTGGATTTAATGATTGTTTTAATTTATGGACTCTCAATGCCATAAATCTCTCTAATTCGAGATTTAAAATCAATGACGTAAAACGTATTTTCGATTACTTCTTTGAATACAAAAACTTTAATGCTTATATATGCTTATTCATATTAAGGATACTTGACAAAATTGTAATAATAATTATTTTTGTAATTATGTAATGTTGTATAATTACATGTTATATTCATTGCATTGAAAAAAAATGTTTCAACAGCATTATTTTAATCGATAGAAATCTTGTTAATTTGAGAACGGTATTAATAAAACAAATAAAATTTTATTAAAATAAGATTTGTTTTATTAACGGTATTATTGTGAATTAACGAAATTATTTTCAATTAAAATAATGCTATTGAAACATCATTTTCATTGCATTGCAGAAAAAGAGTCTAATTGCATTAATTTCAATTCTGGGTAAACATAATAAATCAGAATTTTTTTATTGGATCTATTATAATTTTAGTTGTGATAATTAAAATTTTAGTATGTATTTAGTATGTAATTTCAGTATAATTTTAGTATCGAAATCTTCTACTTCGTTTATTTTTAACCAGAAATTTTTTTCAATGACTA